TCTCATCAATAAGACCCTCTGGAATTTTAAAAATGCTCACCATGTATGTTGGGATCACTTGTGCTATCTCTTTGATTAAGACTTCTTTACCCGGTTTTGAAAACAACTTTTCCTTCCACCCATTCTACTTCTTCCAAATTCTCTCCTTCAACCTCGCAAAGATGGCCTTTTTTTATTTCCCAATGATCGTTGGCAAACCCAAATATTTCTCATGTCGATCAACTTCTCTAACACTCAAAGTCTCCATAATTGCTTGTCTTCTCTCCGCGTCAACACATTTGCTAAAAGCGACCTCTGTCTTATCAAGATTAACTTTCTGGCCAGATGCTCTCACATACGTACTGATAATTTCAGCAATTTTTGAGCATTCCTGCAGAGTAGCTTTTTCAAATAAAATGTTATCATCGGCAAAAAAACAAGTGAGACACTCTAGGAGCGGAGTTACAGATTTTCGCCCCCTGAACTTCTTTTCATGAGCGGCTTTCGATAGTAAACAAGAAAAAACATCCGCACATAGAAGGAATAAATAGGGTGAGATTGGGTCACCTTGCCTAAGACCCCGAGTCGGAGTGACAGAGCCCGATATCACATTGTTCACCTTAAAGGAAAAAGACACACTAGAGATGCAATCCATGACCCGACGAATCCAGTAATCACAAAACCCCATCTTAATCATCACCCTTTTCAAGAAACTCCACTCAAACCTATCATATGCCTTACTCATATCGAGCTTAAGGGCCACAGTACCATGTTTGCCTTCCCCTTTCCGTTTCATATGGTGAAAAATTTCAAAAGCAATCATAGCATTATAAGTGATTAATCGGCCCAGTACAAAAGCACTCTGATTTACAGAGATAATATCATTGAGAAATGGCTTAATTTTATTTGCCATTGTTTTTGATATTATTTTGTAAATCACATTACGACAACTTATCGATCTAAACTCAGTCATATATTTCGGATCATTAAATTTAGGGATTAAAACAATACAAGTCTTGTTAATGTCAGAAATATTGATTAGACCTTTCCACCAATTTTTTACCATAGTAATAATATCAGGGCCAACTATATGCCAGAATTTCTGAAAAAACAGAGCATGCATACCATCCGTACCTGGGTCTTTGTTCGGATGCATTTGAAAGAGAGCGTCTTTAATCTCATCAGAGCTCGGCTCCTTATCCATCGCCCTGTTCATTTCCGGGGTAACCATTGGGGACAAACCATCGAGAGCAGCATCAATATCAGTTGGCAAGTATGAAGAAAATAGTGACATAAAATAATCTGACACAATTTTATTAATATGAGATTCCCTCGCCTTCCATTCACCATTCGAATCATACAAGCCCTCAATACGATTCTTTTTCCTCCTTTGACTTGCTTTTCTATGAAAGTACGATGTATTTTTATCCCCATCCCTCATCTCATTAGCCAGGGACTTCGCATACCAGTACGATTCCTCCAACCTCCGGAGTTCATTAACTTCCCCTGCTAGCTCTTCACATGCTGCCAACATAGCAGCGTCCACCTGCCTCCCCTGTGCCGCTTGCAACTTTTCCTCACACTCCTTTATTTTCTTCTTGACAGCACCAAAAGTCTTTGCTGACCACTTGGTAAGAGAATCAGCACACATAGCAATGCGTTTGTGCGGCTCTAGACCCTCCCCTTCACTCCAAGCTTTTGACACTACCTCCTTACATTCATCCTTCGAGAGCCACATAGCTTCAAACCGAAAAATATTCCCCTTCGTTCCCCTCTCATAATAATTCATAGTATCAAGGATAATAGGTGTATGATCAGATTCCATCCTAACAAGATGCTGGACAGAAAAATTTGGGTTTAACCCACACCAATTATCATCTCCAAAGAACCTATCCAACCTCTCTCGGACTACTGTATCCACATTTCTTCCTCTCTGCCAAGTAAATATGTTACCTTTGAACCCCAAATCACGAAGACGACAAGTATCAATAGCCCTACGAAACACATCCATCAAGCTTTTCTGTCTAACAGCCCCACCTTCCTTCTCAGCCGGACTCACAATTTCATTGAAGTCACCGAACATAATACAAGGGACATCACACGATGATTTTAAGTTAATCATGAGCTCCCACGTTTTATGCTTATTCTCTGTCTTCGGCCACCCATAAATGCCACAAGCTCTCCAAATCGGAATTCCATCACTATTACACACATTAGCAGCACAATGATGTGTAGAGTAAGAGACAATATTCACAGCTACATCTCTCCAACAAAACCCCATACCCCCCGACCTACCATTACTACTCATATAAATGCCATTTTGAAAACCACAACGCCTTTTTATTTTCTCTATTCTTCCTTCGTCTATCTTCGTCTCCATGAAGAACACCATATTTGGCCTCTCTCTCCAACACAAGTCACGGAGAGTTCTTTCCGTCCATGGGTTGCCAATCCCATAGACGTTCCAGCTTAAAATTTTCATTGCCCTTCGAGGGGTTGGGAATTACCAACGCCCTATACTTGGATATTACTGTCCCCAGTAAGCATCGAAACCTCCACTTTTCTCTTTTTTTCAAAGTCATCAACCCTCATATTGTCAACATTACTGCCTATAGAAGAGACCCCTCTCTTTTTTCCCTATCAGTTACAGCAAACAACCTTGTTTCCCTATCCTGTAGCACAGGGGAATTAGGCCTTGAGGGTGAGAACATTAACTTCCTCTCCGTCCCGGGAGGACCAAGCTTAACAGCTTTGGGGTCGTTGTATGTCGCTCTTCGATTCAGCTTCTTGTTTGCCATAGAGTCAATCCATTTCTCCTCCTTCTCCCTTTCAGCAAGAAGTGCTTTGGAGCGTTGAATAGGAGATGCCACCATGAAAGGGCCATATTGGAATACAAGCTCTTCATCATCTTTCACCAAGTCCTGTTCAAGACAATCTTTGTCCAGATGCCCCAATTTACCACAAAAATAACAAAATTCGCCCTGTCTTTTATACTTTAATCCGATCCATCTAGACCCAGAGAGAGTCCCAATCTTCATTCCCCTTCGCAAAGGTTTTGTAATATCTGCCATCACCTTAACCCTCATAAATTCTTCCCGCCCTAGAGGATCTGAATCATCATATTCCATGAAATTTCCAATATAGTTGCCAATTTCCTCCGCAAACTTCGCATTTCGTTTTCCAAAAGGAACATACATCAAGAAGTCTAATCCAAAAAGGGGAATCATCGAATATAATATCCGATGGTTGGTCATCAGCAGTCATAGGTTTTAGCAGCAAGAGGTGTTGGTCGAACGCCCACGGCCTTCCATCCAGCACACGATTCTTTTCTTCCTCATTAAAGAATTGAAAGATGATTAGGTTTGTGTAAATCATACGAATCGCCACATTATCGTTCAATCTCCATAATCCCTTAATAACCATCTTCATTGCTTCTAGGGTTTATTTGTTAATAATTTCCCAATTAGAGATAAGTTAAGCTTGGGATTCAGAGCGTCGTCAGTCTCGTCACCGACAGTACTCACAAACACCGCATTCTCTTCCTCTGTTAGTTTCAATTTCTCCCAATCCTTCATCAGATCTTCCGCCATATTTCAACCAGAAAACAACAACGGGAAAACAACAGAGGAGAAGCTAAAATAGAGAAACCCGAATTCGATTGAGTAATTTGTTTGTAGGCTGCAGAAATCAATTGAAAACAGAATTGAAAGGATCGCAAAGAAAGCAACGAACCCTAACCAGTAAACTCGACTCTACTCTCACCCCACACGAGGGACTTCGAAGACTAACTATAACTATAAAAGTTTGAAATTCAATAAATAGTAATATATTTTTTCCTATAATTAACTTAATTTCATATCAACATCTTAGGAAAAATAAGACTATAGGAAGTAAAGGGATAAATCAACATCATCTTATTCCAAATCATCATCTGGTCGAGATGCCACTGAGGTGTTAATGCACTCCAATCGAGTGGAAATGGTCTTCTGCAAAGCTTCAGTAAGTTCCCGTCCCGTCCTCTCAAACTTACACTACTACATCGTCGCCATTTCAAGACTCTCAACCACTGAAAACTGCAACCTTGTGCTTTCAAGCCAGCTTTTTAACTCTTCCAAACATTCTAGTGCTTTCTATCAGAGATAAGCACATAACCAATCATGCATTAGTGTTGTGTGAGTCTCAACATTTCGCTTTACTCTTGACAATTTTATTTTTTTTCGAATTGTCTTAGGTGTTCCCTGAGCCACAATGAAATTCATATAGTTACTTATAATGCTAACCTTGCTGCTAACATCTAGGATCCGCATAAAAAAGAGCGACTTCTTACTTCTAAACAACAGCTAAACGTGACGTGAAGCAATACACAACATATTACTGTTCTTGGCTTAGTGCAAATGACAGATGAGTGAGCAAATGAATCATAAACACTAAAGAAACATACAGATATGACATACCACTTAAAAACTGAGCAACTCCTGATTCATTCAACTAAAGCTAAGAAAATTGCCAGATCATAATACACCAACCAAACAAAACAGAATGGTGCAGACAAGTCAAAGCTTGGGTAAGTTCAAACCACTTCATTCAAGTGAATGCCCGACCATGTCATTAAAATGCATATATAACTGAATAACTAATGCTGCTAAGTTGTATGAATATTCTCAGATGTCAGCATGATGGAAAGGTAAGGCGAGAACTCAGCAAACATGAGTGAAGTTAAGATGTCAGTATCGCTGCACTACATAACTTCCTCGGAGACAGCTTGATGTTTCAATATCCCATAGGGTTGTTCTGCCCATAGAAATGTAATTTTCTTTGGTTTCCTTATTTAGGTGCAATTTCAGTGTCAAATAATTTGGCAACTGAATGAAGTGCAATGCTTTTAACACATATCCAAATAATTTATAATAGCTCTATAAGTAGCATGCATATACTACACTAGAATGTCATCTCTACTGGAGAATATTCTACCTTAATTGACTTGACACTACTACAATCAACATTCAATTCAAATTAGCAGCTTAGAGGAAGAGATAGTTTGTATTAATAGAACAAAGTGATTGATTCAATACAAGATAATTCCCACTCCATGAGAAATGAGCTCTCCCAATACTCACTATATATATATATATATATATATACTTTTCAATTCCTTTCTCTTACTTATGTCCTCTTTCAATTACCACTAGCTTTCCACACCTTACAAGCTTCCGCTACAAATACACTAACAAATCAGACATTTCCACCTGGAATCTTACTTAACAGAAAAGATTGCTTAGTTACTTGACTACTCTTGGCTGCCTTCTAGCTGTCTAGCATAAGCGAGCACAACAGGACACCTCGTTAGTACCTATCCGCATATCTTGGAGGGGTATGTTCACATGATCCAGCATTTGGAGAAATGCAAGAAATCATAACAGTCTTTGAGTTGCCAACAAATGAGCCACAAAGAACCTCAGTGAGTTTACTCCCTCGAAATGAAATATGACGTTGGTCGTTGTCAAGTGCACGAATACACTCCTTGATAGCCAAAAGAATCTCATTAATCTCAGCTCCCTCAATCCTGAAATAAGTCAACCAAGAAAGTGACAACAAGGCAAATACGATGAAACATCATAAGCAACAAGAACAAATATTAGAAAATCAGAACACCACTTCCTCTAATGCCCACTCAAAAGGCAAAGAATGTCGGTCTAATATGTTTTATACATTCTAAATTTCTAATTCCCCTGTCTTTAATGGCCTAAGATTTGGTAGCGGACAAAAAATTCAGTTGGAGCGAACTACAAGCACAAGCAGTAATGAGTAGTAGACTTGGCAGAAAAAGCACCTTGTTTGTCGATCATTATCAGTTGTATCTGCCCCTCTTTCACTTCCAGCCAAATCAATGAATCCAACCACCTTCCCAATCTTGGCTCCAGTAACTTCATTATTTCATCTTGTGTCCTTTACTTCAGTGTGCTTTTTCACAACAAGCTGAAGGATAGCATGTGACCTTGAAGATTCTTCATTGGCACCTGTGGTACCAGTACTTCTAGCTCCACTCCCTCTATCAATATACTGTCTAACTATTTGCACATCAAAAACTTCAATTTTTAAACTGCAGTCCGACAATGCAGACTTGCTGCCGTCCATCTTCCCTCATACAGAGTTTCCTACAGGGAAAATTGCTCGTTAGTACATCATGTCAGTATTCAAAATCAATAATGCAATAATCCCAACTAAGATAATTATCCACACAAAAACTCTCAAATAATCCCTGCATGTTATCTAATAATATACAGATTTAATAGGTAGTATAGAAGTATACAACACTTTGATAAGACAAAAAGAAAATAATTTTCATTGCCTTTTTTAAATAGGACATGCTGAAAAACATACCAACATGCATTGCTGCAAAATCATACTAAAGCGCACAAAGCACTTTTCTAAATAAGATCTAAAAACCAGAGCACAATTATCAGCAAAACATCACAAACCACAATTAGTTTGTAAAAGAGTGGAGCAAATAGCAATAAAGTTGCAAGGTATACTTAGACATAAAGTAACCCATCCAACTATCCCAAAGTGGAAAATGAATAAGAAGTGAATTAACATGCATGAACCATACTTTTTGTCACATAAGAGGTCAAACAATTTGCCCCCATAAATCTCAAAGTAACTGAGCCACAATTTGAATCTTTGATTACGATAAACAGGCTGATGCAACAGTCTCAGAAGATCTCGGCAGCTTTGATAGATAAAGGTTTCATGGTAAATGTCTTACCACTACCAGAAAATAAGATACAGAATGATTCGTTACATCACAGGTGATCATTCAAAACATAAAAAACAAAAAATTATACATCTCTCAATGTATAAGCCTGAACAGACATCAGAATTTTGCCTTATAAGAGAAATCTTTTAAGTTTTACAGTATTGTTTAATACTTTGAATTGCAATAACAATAATTGTTTCCTCCCTCACCCCTCAAAGCTCCCACCTTCCCTTTTATATCAGCAAACCCATAGCATGAGCACAGGACAGCTGCTTCCAGCAATGATGTTCCCTCGGCTTACTCGCTTGAAGGATCATTTCATTTCCCCAAGATGATAAAGGTATGCACATGTTAGCATCCCTCTACTAGGCATATCTAGATTGTATATTTCTGGTTACTACCATTCAAAGCTTAAGCTCCAAAGTGTGAGAACTAACAAAAAGTTAGAACTACAAGTCTATCCTCTAGTATATTAATCCAGCAAAGAAAGTAACAACAAATAATCCCTAAGAAGTTGCTCCCACTACAGCCCACTAAAGTACCAGAAGTGGAGATCTTGACGAACAAATAACAATTTATTTTATTACAAACTCCGAAGGAATTGATAAAAAACAATACTATAATTCAAACTTGCTGGAGTGAAAACTGACAAAAAAAAAACATGAACACAATCCTATATTTCACATTGCAGACAAGTAAACAGAGAAGAGAAACCCTACATACCAGTTTGACCATATACAAAGCATGTTGCCTTTGTGCGCTGAAATATGGTTGGAATGATTGGTTCAACTGTACCACGATATTCGATATACCTGATGGAAAAAGAAATGAGAAATAGCAAAACAGAATACTTATGAACATTACTATATGTCCATTATTATAACCAAAATAGCTTAAATTCAAAAATATGGAATACCTCATCATTTGTTACATGCTCATCCAGAACAGCATCAAAACAAAATTCATGCTTCTCAACATATGCTGTTACAGCCACCTTTCATGTGTAAGGGCATAAATAGAATAAGTAGTAATTTCACAATTTAAAATAGAATAATTTCAAGGACAGAAATAGTAAACAATAAAACATTAAAACCCACAGTCGAATTATCCAATAGAAAGCTAATCTCAAGTTGTCACTGCATACAGAAATATAGATACCTTCAATTTGGGTTCATGAACAGTCAAAGCATTGTCATAAACAGTAACTACATCTTCTTTTCGAGTAAGCTCCTTTTTGTTCAAAGGCCTTTTGCGCACCTAATAACATAAACATAGCCTTTAGAGCTCCCACATATCCCTTGCCATGGACAAAAGACGACATAACATATACACACAACTTATAAACAGTTACAGGCTTATAGCCATCAATTTGCGCAAATAAATTATTATTAACAGCAAGCTTAGGGAGAACCAAGGCATCTGCATTGGTCAGCAGCCCATGACATGACAATGGAAATATCTACTATAGTGTTAAAAACAATTTGTCGGGTGTTAAAGTCAATATTTCTTCCATTTAATTGTTTGGTTGGATTTTTAACTACAAAACCTCATACCAAAGGAATTTTTACTCTACCCTATTCCTCTAGAATCCCATATCTATCTAACTCCCAATGATTCACAATCCATTCCATTAATGATATGTGGAAACAATCCCAACAATAAACCAAACAATTTCAAACTAGTATGGGATTTTAAATCCAAACCTCCTTACTGATCCAATCTAATTTAACGAACCAAATGAGCCCTAAGTGAACTGACAAATGTCCAAAATCCAATCAAATCCAGCCCAAATTGATCGGACCAAACTGGACATGAAAAAGTTTGGATCAGACTATCCGACTTGTAATCAAATATCTAAGTCTAGATGTTATTAGACTAGACGTGAAATTGTTTGGATTGGACTTAGATTCATAAATCCGAGTCACAATAATTTTTGGATTAGATTTGAAGTTGGCAATGTCCTATCCAGTCGTTAAATTCACACCCCTAGTTGCGGCACCAGTGTATCTCACAATTTTGTTAAGTGTAAACAATTATCATTACAAGCAAAAATCTATGACTATCAGCTGGCAGAGAGGATAAGCAAAGTTTACAAAAATATATTTAAAATGCAATAAAATAATACTGTATAAAACTTCACATACCCTTCTACTCTATTAAATCCTCAAGAAAAGAATCACAACAGGCTCCAGTACTCCAGATAAATTGATTTAGCTCCGTACTTACAGAGATGAACTGAAGAGGTTCAGGATCGAAAGAATAGCTGCAGTGTTCCACTGGCTCAACAGAGTACTCAGCACGAGCCAAATTTAATTAGACCTATTCCAAAGAACAGAAATAAGTTAGTTTTGGTATTCTAGTACCTTTAGACAGCATAAGCTGCTAATTTTAAAAAAAAAAAAAAGGTTAGTTCTGCTAATATATCATCTTTTATTCTTAACAAAATAAATAAAAAGAATGTAAAGAAAGTTTGATACTTGCCTAAAATTCAAACTGAACAATGCATACAGATTCTTAAGTCCTTTATGCCTTTATAATATAATGGTAGTGCAGTTTGTGGCTGCCAAAGATACCAAGTTTCTAGAGACTATGTCATAGAAATTTGACCAGTGTTCTTGTATATAGTCTCTAGAAACTTGACAAGTGTTCTTGTATGAGATCTATGAGCAAGATGCGGACAGTATAACTGTGAGGTTGTAGCAGCAGCAAAGCCGCAGCCACCAGTCTCACAGAGCCATTTCAAAGTGAAGAAAGCCCCTTATGGCACAAAAATGTTGGGATAATTATATTTACAACTACATTGTACACGATGTATGACTAATATACAATGTTTCCTTGTAATCCTCATCACTGCAAGAGCAAACACCATTCCTGAAGTGGTGAAAATGTTCAGTATCCCTAACACAAATTTCTCGCCTAACAACTTTTGAAATAAATTTTACAATATTATGACAGCTTTTACACATATAAAGATTTTTAGTAACCCAAATAGGTGTCCCTGGGGCAGAGTTGATAAGCCCAAATCCAATGGCCAGTCTTTCGCTATGACCACAGAATACCTCTGCTTTTGAAGCATTTTCAGAAAGAGTCTCAGCCTTATCAATTCCAGCTGCTTCCATTCTCTCATAAAAGGATTTCAGAACGGCATGTACTTCTTTTATCTCAGGATGGGACTCATCATCACTGAGGAATGCATGTACTTTCCCCTTCACTTCTATCCAGCTACAGCCAGGGTCAACAATTAAACCTCTCTCCTTCATCGTCTTTCTCACTCTAGCAAGTTCGTTCCATTTATCACAACCAGCATATAGATTACACAAAAGAACATAATATCCAATACTATGTTCATCAACTTCAAAGATTTTCTTTGCTGCAAGTTCCCCAAGCTTGGCATTCTGATGAATCCTACAAGCATTCAATAAGGCTCCCCAAATAGCTGGATCTGGCTCAAGAGGAATATTTTGAATAAATGCATAAGCATCCTCTAAATCACCAGCACGTCCTAGCAAATCAACTATGCAAGCATAATGCTTCAGATTTTGAGAAACATAATACTTAGTTTCCATGCTGTCAAAATATTCCAACCCTTCGGCCACCATGCCAGTCCTACTACAGGCACAAAGTAATGCTATAAAGGTGATTTCATCTGGGTTTACATTTGAAGCTAGCATTTTATGAAAGAACTCCACAGCAAGTACTCCCAGCTTTCGGTCTGCAAAACCAGTGAGCATAATATTCCATGCAGCAATGTCTTTACCCCATCCATTGAACTGGTTCCATGCAAGTTCCATCCTACCACACCTAACATACATATCTAGAATTGAATTTGGTACATATCCATCGAATGGCAACATGGTCCTTAAGGCATACGCATGGATCTCTTTTCCACACATTAGAGCTCCTATCCTGCCACATGCAGAAAGGGCGGAAATCAAAGTGACTGAATTAGGATTTAAAGAAAGTTTCATCTGACGAAAGAAAAATAATGCCTCGAAGCTCCTGTTGTTTTGTCTTAGCCCAGAGATGATTGAAGTCCACGATATTATGTTCTTGTCTTTGATTTGATGGAAAACTTCCAAAGCTGTATCAATACATTTACACTTGGAGTACATATCGATTAGTGTATTAGAAACAATTATATATGAAATGTATCCTGTTCTAACAGCTAAATCATGAAGTTTCATACCCATATCTAGAAGACTCAACGAGGCACACGCTGATATGGCACTAGCAATAGTGATCTCATCTGGCACGATACCTTCACTCTCCATTACTTTAAAACTCTCTATCGCCTTATCAGGAAAACCATTACTTTCATATCCAGAAATCATTGAGGTCCATGTCACTACATCTTTACATGGCATATTAGCAAAAATTCTTTCTGCTTCAACCCAATTTCCAGTACCTATATACATTTGAATTAATGAATTACAAACTGCAACTTCAACACTTAAACCACTGGTTATAACATATCCATGAACTTCCCTCCCTAACCTCCCATCATCCACACCGTCACAACCTGACACTACACATGTCATAGTCATCAAATCCGGAATAACCCCAACTTCACGCATCATAAGAAACAATCGTAGCCCCTCGTAACATTCTCCATTCTCTACACACCCCGAAATCATTGCATTCCATGAAATCCTATCTCTTTGAGACATTCTGTCAAACACCAAGCGTGCACTAACAATTTCACCACATTTCACATACATTGTAATCAAAGCATTAATCACATCAATATTAGACTCGAAACCATATCGAATTACATGAACATGAACCTCCCTACCCCTCGCTAAATCCTGCATACCACCACAAGTCCTCAAAACACAAGGGAAAGTATACTCATCAGGCCTAACACCAGCCCATAACATCTTATGATACAGAATCAATGCCTCGTCGAAAAACCCGGCTTTCGCATACCCACCAATTAACACATTCCATGAAAACAAATCTCTCTCCTCCATTCTCCCAAACACATACCAAGCATCATTCAATTTACCCAACCTCACAAACATACTCAACAATGCATTTCCAAGTCTAACATCAAAACTCTTAATCTTTTTCGAGTCACAAATATAGGAATATACCTGAAAACCTTGCTTCACCGCTCTCCGCCATTCGCAAAGCTTGAGCAGAGCAACAATGGCGTCGTCTTCAACAAGCAGATTGAGGTCTTTAACAACTGAATTGAGAAGGTTGAGAGCTTCATCTAAGCTTCCATGGAAGCAAAGCTCGGTAATTCGAGAGCTGAAGTTGGTGGAAGTGGTGGTTGTGGAGGTGGAATTGGGGTTGAGAAGGGAGAATTGAGGGAGTTTTCGAAGAGAAAGAGGGTGAATTTTGGTGAGAGAAAGAGATTTGGGAAGATGGGTTTTAGTGTAGAGAGAGTTTAAGGAGTCTGGTGATGGAGGAATTGGAAGGGTTTTAGAGGTGACCGCCATTGTTATGGGGTTTTAGAGCATCAAGGTTTCGCTTTGGATGAGGTTGCAGTGGCAAAACTTGTCTTTCTTATTGTTTAACTATAATTAACAATACTTGGTTTACATACATTATTAGTTTATTTATTGCCCTATTTAAACTTTGCACGGTCTCAAGACGTGTCTGGTAAAGTAAATAACTTTATTTTTATACGTGTAAAGACTGTAAAAAATTGATATTAATGAGTTGAATCCAATAAGACCTTAACTATTTTTTTCTTTTTCTTTTTTTCTACAGAGACTATATTATCTCATATTGATTAACTAGGTTAAATCCCGTACAATGCACGGATGTTGAATAACTATTATACAAAAATAATCATATAAAAAGTAATGAATCGGCCTGGTATTAAAACACATGAAATATATTAAAACAATAAAAACTTGTTAGAGAAAATATTTAAATATAGAGTAGGTAATACTACCTTTGTTTCTTATTATCTGCAACAAAGGGGTATTATTTGTGAGACATAAAATATTCCTTTGTTGTAGATAATAAGAAACAGAGGTAGTAATTATAATGTGCAAGTTGATATTTTAGGAAATTTACTTTAGATTGTATATAAAATTAACACTAACTTTCATATGAGGTGTGGCCAGCCACATTTTTTAATTTTCTCTCTCTACTCCTCTCCTCTCATTTTCTCTTTCTATCTCTAACCGTCAATGGCCAAGCACCTACTTCCGCCGCCGTCGTCTTCGCCGTCTTTGTGTTTGTCATCTTCGTGTTCGTTGTTGACGAAGCTCCAAACCAACCAGATCTCCTCGAAGCTTCAAACCAACCTAGATCTCCTCAAAGCTGCAACCCAAATCGCCGTCGATGTCTTCGTCTTCGTCGTCCATTTCCGGCGAACAACTTTTAGGGCTTTTCTTAATGTTCGTGGCAAAAATTCCCATGGATTGGTACTTGGCAGAGATTGACACGAATTGAAATTGAAATTCAAATTCAAGAAATTAAATACCTCGGAAGCCACACCACCTCCTCCGCTCTCCGCCGTTAATTATCCACCAGAGCTCCCATCACCGCCACTCTCTTTCTCGACGATGGTATTGGCTATGAAATCGCAGATCTAATGATTTTAGGGCGGATTTCATCGTTTATTATCACATTTAATTATTATTAATTCTCTGTAACATATTGATGTCTATCATTTTTTGGAATCGGAATTGTTTGTGTTATTTTCTGAAAATTGCTGTTAGAAAAGTTGTATGTGTATGCTTGGTGATTTGGTGGCTGCTTTAGCGGTGGAATCGATGGTTAGGTCAGGGGTTACTAGATCCAATCAGGGGTTACTAGGTCCGATCAGGGGTTACTTGGACAGGGGTTACTAGATTCGGTCAAGGGTTACTATAGGTCCGGTTAGGGGTTACCAGGTCAGGATTTACATTACTAGGTCCGGTCATGGGTTACAAGGTCGGTCACTAGCAGTTTGTTTGGATGTAGAGAGATGGAGGGAAGAGAAGGGGAGGGAAAGGAAGGGATGAGTTTTCCTCCATTTGGAGAGCAAAGATGGGAGGTGATGGAATTGGGAGGAAGAGAAATGGGAGAAAATTATTTCCTTCCACAATTAAGAAACAAATCTTTCCAAATTAGAGAAGATTTGGAAGGAAAATTGAACCAATCTCTCCAGCACCCTGCAACTGCTGTTTGTAGCCTCCACCACATCAATTGCCGCCATATCCAAAATTGAGTTATGGCTCTTCAAAAATCAATTTTCTAGAAAAAAAAAAGTTTTTAACATACGAAAATCAATTTTTAGAAAATGTGTTCTTCTTTTTCTAAAACCAATTTGTTTTGATTTTTGAAAATCAATTTTCAAAAATTTTGGGTTTAATTTTCAAAAATCAATTTTCTGAAAATTTCATTTTGGAAAATCAACTGGGAAATGATTTTTAGGTTTTTTGTTTTTGGAAAATTTGTACGTACTCCAGAGGTCTATATTTTGAAATTTTATTATGTGATTTTTTATTTATTTCGAAAAATTTAGAATTTCTATTTATACTATCTCTAAAACAAAAACATTAGTTCAGCCATGGGTAAAATTCACAAGAACAAGCAAATACCCTCACTTTCTCTTCCTTTATTTAGGGTCTGTTCTCTTACGTTGAAATTCAGTTCAGTTCAGTTTAGCTGAGTTCAGCTCAGTTCAGTTCAATTCAGCTCCTAATTTCCTTCTCTTATAAAATATTCATTTCAGTTCAATTCAGTTCAGTTCAGCTGAGTTCGGTTCAGTTCAGCTCAGTTCAGCTCAGCTCAGTTCAGCTCAGCTCAGTTCAGTCAATGAGAACAGGCCCTAATGAGGGATTTGGTTTTATTCACCCCTCCCCTTTCCTTCACCTCCCCTTCCTTCATCTTCCTTCCCCTTCCTTTCCTTCCAAAAGTTCTATCCAAACACAGTGTAGGTCTAGTCAGGGGTTACTAGGTCGGTCAGGGGTTACTAGGTCGGAGGGGTTACTTGGTCAGGGGTTACTAGGTCGGTGGGGTTACTTTTGTCATGTTTTAGGTGGCCACACCGTGCGGCCAGTCACACACAAAACCTCCTGTAAAATTAAAATCATAATCTAGATGCAGACTTTATTTTTACATAAAATGATTTTTTTAAATTAGAAAATAATTTTGGCAGAATTTTTTTTTAATAATATATTGCCAAGTGTCCACTTAGATTCACTTTTAGTAGCATGAAATAGATGAGAATTTATGGTCAAAGTTTTTGAAGTTTCACCCTATTATTTGCAATGGGGTAAAAAAATAGGGCATAAGCATACTTTGTATTTCGTTTGTTTTTTAAGGGGCAAAATCATAATATATTGGGATAAAAACGTGTAAATTCACTAATTAATAGCTACTTCGTCCGTATTTTGGGGGTTGTTAGGTTTGTTAAATTGAAATTGATTGGTATGCAAGGTATGGATTCTAAACCGGTAAACCCCATAACAGTCTAAACTTGTTTGGTTTATTCTTTGAAATTGTTTTTACAATTCGTTAAAGGAATGGATTGTGAATCTTAAAGGGAAAGGTGAGTATGAGATTCTAGGGAATGTGGGGGAATTAGAACCCATCAGTATGAGATTTCATACCTATATTTGCCTAACCAAACAACATAATAGATGAAATGGATTTTAACTCTATTCCAATCCATTCCAAAAACTCAACCAAACGGATGAAATGATCTACTCATATCGTATTTTTCACATTCTCTCTCTTCCCCACTTATACACACTTTGGTTTTGTAGATTTTTTTTTTATTCTTCAACCAACTCACTTCCATCAAACATGATATTTTCTACTATCCCTCCTAAAATTTCGTGTCTGGAGAAATGGAGCAAGTAATTAATATGGATTATTATTATTTATTTATTGTAGTAATAAAACTAAAAACGATTAAGGTACACGAGCAACACGACATAGTTAACCATGTCTGAAAGCTCTTTTGATTTGGCCTTATATTACAATTAGTTGTTGGAGGGTGAGAGATAACTCAAGTGGTTAGGGGAATGCTGAGATCGATTCTCATTATCTGCCCTTTTGGCTTTTTTAAAAAAATAGTTGTTTGGGAAAATTAACAGGGTAAAGTCGTATCCCCTAATCAAAAGTAAATACCTAAATCCTCTAACTAAAGTAGATAGGGAAGTAGGGTTGATCTCCACAGGGAAACAAGTCTTTTTACTCCTAATTGATTATTATAATCTAAATTATCTAATTAATCAATATTTATATTTGAGTATGAAACCAAACTACAAAGAATAGTAATAGGGAGAAAACAATATATAAAAGGATCTAGGGCATAGGTTCAGCAATAAATAATACTTCCGGGTAAAACATAGTAATCAATCATTGATATTGCATAAATAACACGATTAACAGGCTCTCGCAATTTATTAATCAACATAGATCTAACAGGTTCTCGCAATTTTCTAGATCTAAGTTCTTATTGAAAATAGCCTTTAATATCAAATTAATATCTGCTCGATTCATCAATTTAATATTGCTATACTTTTACAAGCCGCAATTGTAAGACGTTAAAACAATCCAATAAGAAATTATCATGCAATACCAATAATCAATAATAGTCAATCATCAATGCATCAATTAACCAGATTGTAAAGGGATTTCGCTACGTATTACAATCACAGAATTAATCTACCGGTATTAAATCTCATCTCTCGAATCTCGACTTAACCATTTATAAATTAACCTGTCTATTGAAACTAGACCTAAACATCAATTCTCATCTGTCGAATCTCGAATCAATATTGTTAAACTCATGCATAAAAGATCTGCGCAAATCTAGTCACAGAGCATTAAATCAATCAATAGGAAATTAATCTAGCATTGATAATTAACAACAATAAATTACCCCTTCATATTATTTATGGATCCCCATAAACCCTAGAAATAAAACTACTCACACATATTAAAAACTAAACAAATCAAAGCAATAAAATAAGTCATGATGAAAGGAAACAAGATTAAGAGAAGAGAAATCGTTACCAAACTAATCTGTATTAATGGAAAAAATCAAGAACAAAAGTTGAGAGAAGAGTTAAGAGAGAGAGAGAAGAGTTAAGAGAGAGAAAAGATCCTAAGTAGAGAGAGAAAGTCTAAGAAAGAAGTTCCTCTAATAATTCCGTACAAAATCGTATGTAAACGTTTCCTAAAACAAGAATTAAAACTAAACTAAATCAGGTCTTCCAGAAACGCGCGCCCAATCGGGCGCGCCTTTTTCTTCGCGTTCTTCTCAAGCAGCATCGCCCGATCGTGCTAGATGCTCGCACGATCGGGCGCGCCTTAGCATGTAGCCCTATGGTTTGCCGCGCCCGATCGGGCTAGAGGTTGCCCGATCGGGTCTTTGCTCCTCTTGAGGCTTGGACTTCGATTGGGCTAGATTTCTCGGCCCAATCTGGGTTTCCTCTCGGGTCTCGAATACTCGGTCCAAACGCCTCGGGATCCCAATTACCGAGCCCTTAATCACCGGCTCTCACCGATCCTGGGCTCCAAAAGTGGTCGCGTCCTTCTAGCTTCCGTAGTTGCTCTAAAATATCCCGGGAAAATACTCCAAAAGCATAAATCCCTGCAAAAGTCAACCCAATCTACGAAAACACTAGAAAACACCAATTGGTAATAAAAGTGGCTCTAAAGAGCCAAAAACACTACTAATTATGACCAAGGGACGGGGGTAAAATACTATATAAAATAGACACATCAAAAATATGTAAAAAAAATAGGGAAAATAATGTTTGCACACTATTCTTATGAGTTAAAAAATAGAAATTAACATTAATGAGGGTAAATAAGTGAAAAAAACATTTTAGAGGGTATAATTGTCCAAATATTTGAATAAGAGTTAT